TCGTGTCTGAATAGGCGTTCTTAAGAAGTGCCGTACATCCCCGCGTAGGGCCGCAATGTTATTTCCGACAGAACACAAGCAACCCGCTCCATCTCATTAAAAACTGTTCACATCCCAAACACTTTCCTTGAACCAACCAGATCAAGGCATTTCCCGGCAAGTTAAATGCGTTTCTTCCACCCTACACAATATTAGCAACACATTACCGACATTTCATCCCTGATGACTACTTAGAGCATCGCGTAAGTACAATACAGATACGGATGGAACCAGTGGCGTAGCTAGGGTAGGTGTCACCTGGTGCGGTAAACTCACGATGTCACCCCCCCCCAACTTCTATGATCGATTTTTTCTTGTTAAGATAAGTTCACAGTATAACAATAACAAGAACAAAACACATACATCGAAGTTCATGAGGTCAGGGTATTTAAAAACTGTAACAACGTTGAGTTATAGTTATTTTTGCATTACATTTAATGTATTTAAAATGTTCCTTTCCTTGTGCTCAAAGCTGCAAACCTGTCAATCATTTGATCAAAATCAAATTCCTTCAATGTATCACTTTAAATAGTTAGCAGAGCCATATCAGAAAGCCTTGACGGTCCCATGATGGATCATAAATATTTCTTGATGAGCCTTAGTTTTGAAAAGCTCAGCTCACATGAAGCCAAAGACTCACATATCGTAAGAAAAAAATTAAAATCTTAGCAAGAGTATTGGAAGAGTTTCTAGGAAGTCCCAATCAGCTGTGAATTTCAAAACATAAATTACTGACCTGCCAATGACTTTGTGAAATTTCAATATCAGCTGCCTTTAGATGTCTTTTAAGCCATGGTATTTCTTTTGAAAGTTCATCTTCTGATAACTCATCATAGAGAGAAGTTACTTTTGGAACGTACACCAATAACTCTTCTTCACTTGCTGATACTAGACTCTTGTGTTGAACAGCCCCAAACATATATGCTACCTCCATGATCGCTGATGATCTGATCAGTAGTTCCGAATGAAAGCGATCAATACACTCCAGAATCTCCCTAATGTCTTCGTCTCGAAGAAAGAGTCCAGCATCTATTAATTTTTCTTCTGCCTTTCTCTTCTTAAACCTTAATTTTCTCACTACCTAAACTCCATAGTGGTCTGATTTTAAATAATTCGTTTCAAAACCGTGTCCCATCAAGGACCTCAAGCTGATGAGCCCAAAGGTAAAAGGTAGCAGAAAAACGTAAAATCACAAACACAATAATTAAAGAATTGCATTTCAAATCAGAGACAGCATGCAAAAGACTTTGTTCTGTACCTCTTGTATCCAAATTTTCAAGAGGATCACACAAAGCTTCAATAGCCGCCACACATTCATCAAACTCATCTTTCACTTTCACTGTCTTAACAGCAGCATGATAAGTACTCAAATGCTTTGTAGATAGTCTTTTCACTAACATTCCAGTGTGTTCAAATAGAACATTTCATTGATGAGTGGATGCAGCAAAGAAGGAAAATGTTCTTTCAAGTGTACTGAAAAAAGTCCTAGGTGAACCTTTCCGCAAAAGAGTTTTGACCACACAAGTTAAGCATATGGTACACAAAAGAGTGTTGACCACACAAGTTAAGCATATGGTACACAAAAGAGTGTTGACCACACAAGTTAAGCGTATGGTACACAAAAGAGTGTTGACCACACAAGTTAAGCGTATGGTACACAAAAGAGTGTTGACCACACAAGTTAAGCGTATGGTACACAAAAGAGTGTTGACCACACAAGTTAAGCGTATGGTACACAAAAGAGTGTTGACCACACAAAAGAGTGTTGACCACACAAAAGAGTGTTGACCACACAAGTTAAGCGTATGGTACACAAAAGAGTGTTGACCACACAAGTTAAGCATATGGTCCACGCATCCATTTAAAATAGCGTCCTTATTATTTCTTTTCAGAATAACCTGAACGCATCCATGGATTCCAGATATGTTGGCATCGTTATCGTAACCTTGAGCTATGAACATCATTATGTCTAGCCCATCACGTTATCGTAACCTTGAGCTCTGCACATCATTATGTCTAGCCCATCACGTTATCGTAACCTTGAGCTATGAACATCATTATGTCTAGCCCATCACGTTATCGTAACCTTGAGCTATGAACATCATTATGTCTAGCCCATCACGTTATCGTAACCTTGAGCTATGAACATCATTATGTCTAGCCCATCACGTTATCGTAACCTTGAGCTATGAACATCATTATGTCTAGCCCATCACGTTATCGTAACCTTGAGCTATGAACATCATTATGTCTAGCCCATCACGTTATCGTAACCTTGAGCTATGAACATCATTATGTCTAGCCCATCACGTTATCGTAACCTTGAGCTATGAACATCATTATGTCTAGCCCATCACGTTATCGTAACCTTGAGCTATGAACATCATTATGTCTAGCCCATCACGTTATCGTAACCTTGAGCTATGAACATCATTATGTCTAGCCCATCACGTTTCAGATTTGTAAGAATTTCAGACCTGAAGTCATCAGCTTTTGTCCCTCTTAACGGGAAAAATCCAAGAAAAACTTCTCTCACTTCAACTTTCCATTTGTGGATGTTCACATATCTGGTCACTTCAGATATCTGGTCAGTTTTTGATATATCAGGTGTACTTTTGAACATAATTCCAAAATACATCGCAGCCTTTATGTCCATGATAAGAATCTCCTTCAAATAATTTTCAAGGAAATTATAAATTCATTTTAGGTTTATGGTGAAAGGTAAGATGCGGATGCTTTTTCATGTAGATGTACTCCTCTTTAGTCTCATTTGGTGTTCTTTTAGCACTTGATCATATTTAGATAGCATATCAACCATTTCAATAAAGTTTTAGTGAAGATTCGTCTCCGATCTGGCCACAAAATGCCAGAATTTGCTTTGCAAGAAACATTGTGATATACAGCAATCTGTGAAGGATATCCCTCCACATTTTATTTTCCCTGTCCATCACAGCAATACTTTCGGCATCAATTGTTTTGTGTATCCTAAGTCCTGCTGCTAATGCTTTCCACTTTTCAAGATGCTTCATGATTTTGTAATTTTGGGATCAGTTTTCACCACTTATCAAGGTCAGTAACAAATTTGAATGTTGTTTCTGTAACATTAACAGCAATCAATCTGCAGCACAAACAATTCAATTTATGACTGAAAAGTAAAAAAAAACACCTCCAAGACGCCCCATTTTCTCGCCATTTTGCATCATCCCGTAGATCCAGTGTTTTGTAAAATAAAAGAGCATTATTGTAAAATAATATAATTTTTAACCCTATAAATGGGTAAAATTCATTTATAATGTTTTTAATTTTTACCGATTAGTACACTTATAAACGTCCTATTACACCGGGCTATTTCTCAGAATCTATACAAATATAGCCTCCTGTCACTTACGGACGTTACCGAGCACTTCAATTGGCGTGGAATAATGATTGTGTTTTTCTGACCTAAATATAGGATGATCTCATTTCTGACGCATCAACCTTGAACTTTTAATAAAGCGCGCATTTTGATTGGTTACATTTGTGAAAAATATATGTGTTATTCTTTTATGAATCTCGGTTTTTTTAGAGCAAGTGTGCCCTGTAAATATGCAATTTTTCATTCGGGTGTCAACCCTAAAATGGTGTCACACGGTGCGGTCCACACCCCCCGCACCTGCCTCGCTACGCCACTGGATGGAACTCTTTTAACTGATGGTGTACTTTGGTTAGTGACAAACAAATCAATAGTGTGGAAATTTAAGGTAGTTAAACTTTAGCTTTAAACACACTCGACACATAGAGAACTTCAACAAACACAACACTAATTGATGATGTATTTAAAATTCTTACCCAAGAGCCAAGTTTTATCTGAAAAGTCTTTATCGAGATGAGGTAAGATGGGTGAAACTCGTACTCTTTTGGAAAACGGTCATGATTTTGAGCCTACATTTTGGAGAATTATTTAATTATAAATGATATGTGTCAAATTCTCCAAATAAATTAAGTCTCATTGTGTGATTTATTCGTTGATTAATCAAACCTCTCTTTCTCTCACCAATCATTACCCCATACAAGTGTTATCTGGCTTCATAGGACATTAACCTCCATTTTTGTGATTGCTTCTTCATCAGAAAGATACCCACATTTCTATTCTGGTGGATTTCAATTGTTAACCGCATGAATCAGTGATTGCACATCAAAATTTTCGGACGGCTAATTGACTTATTTCCTGTCAACCCATCGAGCTGAAACTTGGCTCATGGGCTCGTCGCCGATGACAACATATTCTTTCAAATTTTTAGCTTTGCCCCCACCCTCAAACCTTAAAAATAAGTTTTTTAATGGGAAGATAAAATGAAATTCTCGATAACTGCGCTAAATGAGATTCTTAAACAAGAACTATCGCAAGAACGATTGGTGTGTAATATTGTCGTTTGTTTTTGAAATAGTCGGTGAAATAAATCTGCGATGTATTCATTGACATTTTTTAAATAACAAATTGCGAATCTCATTACTTTTATGCATGTTTTTTTTTTGTCTTCAAAGTTTCACCCCCACGTCATTGCTCAATATTACATTTCATACACGTTTTATACGAACACTTTATTTTTAGAGGTCATTTAATAACGTTGACATTTCAATAGTAGCAAAGACAGAGGGGGAGATGATAATTTATTATGACTATAACCAAAATCATACGTATCACATATTTTTTAAAGGAGATTTTCTAGTTCCAAAAGTAAAGGTCACACAATTTAATTTTCAATAGGACTTTAAAGTTACAGATTTAAAAGGTATGTCGTAATAATTATGGATCTACAGGTATGACATATGTTTAGAGACATAAAGGTGTACATGTATTTGTATTTAGAGATGTAAATGTATGCATATAGCTATTAGTTTAAAGATAAGCAAATGTTCAAAGAAAAGTAATAGGTACACGAGTAAAGGTTCGCTGTTGTCAAAGATGTAAAAATGCATACCGATATGAGCTCCGTTGAGAATTCCAAGACCTGTTTTATTTTCTGTCTCACTGTCAAGGGGTCTCCGCCCAGCGCTGCAGTTAAGTGAGCGAGCTCTTCAATTTTCTTTTCATCGTAAATCCCAGTTTCAAACGAACTCCATTTACCTACATTGAGCTAAATTAGACAACATACACTTTAAATATTTACAAATATCGGACTACTTTGTGTAGTTGAATTTAGACTTGAATACATAAATAAGTGTTAGCATACATGGGGAACTAGTTTTGTATCTATGGTAAATGTAAATTCTGAAAGAATCCGCAGGTCACTGGCCTAAGCTTGTCCTCCTCGGAGCCCAACAATAGACGCTACGGGGACAATTATAGCACTATTTACTTATTAGAAGAACTTCGTTTCTCATACATTTTAGGAGCTGCTTTTGTAGTTCATGGGTAATTAGAGGGGTGGTTCTGTGGACAGTAGTATTCCAAATGGTGAGTGCCGATTGTTGGAAGGCATTTGATGTTTCTTTAGATTAGTGGGTGGGGAACAGTGTGACCTGTAGGTCACATCCAGCATTCTTGGTCTCAAAACGAAGCACTTTGACTGAATGCAAGATCTACCCAACAAATACTAGAACATTATTAGACTTGCCATCAATGTTCCCTCTAAGGTTTGCTAGTTCGTGTGCAAAATCATACAGTTGTGTGCAAAGTTTTACGGCATCAATTTTTGTGTGCAAAATTTTTCAAGCCCATAAACACACAATTTAGACAATTACATAGAAATTTGCTGCGCGGATACTCAAAACTGATGAGCGGCGTCTGTGAGATAGCTGCGCTGCCGCACAGTAGCGCAGCTTAAAGGGAACATTGCTTGCCATGTACTGGGCGTGAAAACTAAACAAGATTAGATTTAATGACGTCTTAGCATTCATATAAATTTCAAATATAATGTGAACTATTTGGAAAATGCAGCGCCTAGATATTGAAATGCCTAATCAACAAAGAGCAAGACACTGGTTAGTAATAAACAGTTTGGCCAGGCTTAAGAATTAATCAACAGTTTAAATATATTTTTTCCAACATGAAATGTGCCCCCCCCCCCCGATCCATTAAAATGGCCCGAATAAGCCAAAGATTCAATGACAAATGTTTTAAAGGATTGGAAAAACAACATACAAGGCTTTACCAGAGACTTGTGGTCAGCTCTTATCTCTACAACATGCAAGGCTTGACCAGAGACTTGTGGTCAGCTCTTATCTCTACAACATGCAAGGTTTGACCAGAGACTTGTGGTCAGCTCTTATCTCTACAACATGCAAGGTTTGACCAGAGACTTGCAGTCAGCTCTTATCTCTACAACATGCAAGGTTTGACCAGAGACTTGCAGTCAGCTCTTATCTCTACAATATACAAGGTTTGACCAGAGACTTGCAGTCAGCTCTTATCTCTGCAATATACAATGCCTGACCAGAGACTTGCGGTTAGATCTTATCTCTACAACATGCAAGGTTTGACCAGAGACTTGCGGTTAGATCTTATCTCTACAACATGCAAGGTTTGACCAGAGACTTGCGGTTAGATCTTATCTCTACAACATGCAAGGCTTGAGCAGAGACTTGCGGTTAGCTTTTATAATATCTCTACAAAAGTTCTTTTAGGATCCAAACCAAACTTTCACAATAACTTAGATTTATAAGTAAAACAAACGGCCTTTAAGAAACTTTACAATAACTTAGATTTACAAATACAACAAACAGCTGAAAAGAAATTATACATTCAACAAGCAAGTCGAGAATCGCAAACAGCTTACGGCGATAAAGTGTTCTGGAGTACTGCTTCCCACTTCTCTCCATCTTTTGACCACCTCAACCTTAAACAACGGCCACACATCCATTTTATTCATCTTGACCAGCGTTTTCTGCAAGCTCCATGTCGATGATTCAAATGGCTTGACGTTTTCTTCTGTCAGAGTCCAAGATCCTGCGTCACTTATAAGCTGTGAATGTAAACAGTGCAATGGTTTAGATTTACGAAACATATTTCATTATTCTTGGAGCATTCTGCAACAGATTATTGACACAATGATATAATTTTTTTATCTCTTAAATATATTTCGCTTCTGATGTGACTGCGTCCTATACCCAACTGGCCTTCCCACTATTCAATACGTTTTATATTAATTTTACTGAGTTTTTAAAAAAAAAAGTAATCAAGCAACGAGCGTCATGCGTGACGGTTGAACTGAGGTTAAATGGTTAAATCTTTTCGGAGGCGACTACTATATCACGGAAATAAAAAAAAAGTGCCACGGGTATGATGTCGAACTGTCTGTAGGACTATTGTCTAAATGCCGGCAGGTATTGTGTAGGACTGTCTGTGGAACTATTATGATAAATTATGAAAAAGGGAAGTTAACTTTTTTTAACACTTGGACCCAACCGGCTATTTTTTCAAAATACCCGTACTGGATTATAAAAACAACCCCCTCCCCCCACCCCCCGGGTCAGCCCTAGTATTTAATGTTCATGTCAAATAATAAAACAATAACTTTTTGTTTTTAGTTTGCTTCACGTGTACCACGAAGGCGTCGCGGTTTGGTGCATTTGACGAGCTTCAACTAATTCGACTTTTACAGCAATATTTGTTCGTCTCGGGTCAGTTGATCACCGTTATTCCCCTGTCGGCTTTGATCGGAGCTCACCTTCTCTAACATGAGCGTTCGCCCAAGGCTGACGAGTCCCACCACGATTTATTTGAAGGTGTTTAAGTGTGTCAAGGACTGGGCATCTCTTGGTGTTTAAGGCTGAGTGGATTGGGGTACCTGGGGCTGAGTATGGAAGGGTTTTATGGCTTTTTCACGGTCAGATCACATTATGTTGTTCTGGGTCTGTTTGCGATGTTGTGTGAGAGAGCGATAGTGGAGTTCCCTTTAGTTTTCCCCCATTAATCCCACGAGTTTTCCCAGCCACGTATGACCGTGGTGGTGTGTGGAATACAAACCACGTGAGAGTAAAAAAGTGTGTGTAATTTTAGTGGGTTGAGAGAGACAGGAGCGATTGCTGTGGATGTCCTGTGAAAAGTGACCATTGCTATGGATGGAAGAGGAAATTATTACATTTCGCTAGGAGTGGTTAGCTATATTTTTTTGTTATAGCATGTTTAGGATTTCTAGACTCGCCTATGTTATCTGAACACAAGTGATTATATCGTATGTATGTCATGCATATGAAGCCAGTAAATAATAACGAATTTATATCTGTTCATCGTTTGTTTTGTTACTTGAAACATACAACACATAACCTCTGCAGGGGCTAGGAGGAAAGATGTTCTAGACTATCATATTGTTTCTGTTTTTCATAATTATCCACCACAGGGCTGAGGGTGTAAGGTTTTTCGGGCTGAGTATGTAAAGGTTTTTGGGATGAGTATATAAGGGTTTTAGAGATAAATGAGTAAGGATGGCTAGGGCTGGTTGTGTAAAGATGGCTAGGGCTGGCTGTGGAAGGATGGCTAGGGCTGGCTGTGGAAGGATGGCTAGGGCTGGCTGTGGAAGGCACTGGATTGCAAAGAGTCGGCCAATAAGGTTGTTTCATTTGTCACATATTAATACTATATCAAGCTAGAAAGGATATCGGCCCGGGGGTGGGGAGAAAGGGGACAGTTGAGTAAGGGCTGATTTAAAAAAAGGTTATTTTGGTTTACAAATTTGTTTTGAATTCGGATTATATAGCTGTAAGCTTTTCTGGCGTCAGTAGTGATGTTCCACATTCGTAAAACAGTGACGTCAGCGGTGGTTCTAATAATTTTGCGATAAGACGTAGGGAATGGTTCGTACTCAGGGACCTTAAAGTTAAAGTCATTTCATTTTTGTTCGGGTTTAGTCGTCGGGAGGATTCGGTTTTGTTCGGGTTCGGTGGCCGGCAGATTTCGTTTTTGTGCGGATTTAGTCGTCGGCATGTTTCGAATTATATATGTTCGTTGTGGGATTGGTTCTATTCCCATCTCCGGTATACATGTGCTGAGAGGAAACAAAATGATTCCTGGGCACTGAGGAAAACGAATGAATTGGATTCTCTTGCCCTGGTCTTTGATTTCTTACATCACACTATGCTAGTATGCTTCACCAGTCAACCACACTACAACACGTTGTCTATGTGACCATACCATGTTCCGTGACAGACGGGTGGGCTTGGTCCATCTGGAGAAAGCACGTTTGCTGTTTGAGGACTATGCGGACAAAAAAAAAGCCAATAATATTATTACGTGCCTGCAAGATTTTGGACTTGAAATTAAGACTAATACGTTCTTCATCTGTACATAATCGGTGATACTTTTTCATCTTGGCCAGGGCACTCGATTCTCTGCCATACAAACGGGTATCATGGGATGATAAGATCTAAACGAAGATCAGAGTAAAAAGGCATTTGTTCCTTAAAATATCAAGAAGGCGAATTTAAATCAAAAAATGTCTCTTATTTTAACCACGAAAGTAAGTTTAGTTTCGGTTTCGGTCAAACCGAAAGTGACTTGGGGTTTTCAGGCACGGACGGAGGGACGGAGATTCAGATAGATTTTATTAACTTTACGAGGCGTGTTTTATTCTTTGTGTATTTGTGAGCTTATATGTGTTTATTTCGCCTTATTCATTGGCACATTATCTAACTGTATTAACTGTGTACCGGTACAAGATCTACCATACTGTAAGTTGAAGATTGTAATTATATTTTCTTTTATTTTGTAATTATCTTAAGACTTAATAAATCTTAATTAATTGTAACTAGAAACTGTTTTGGGTGTCGTATCTTTAAGGTTGTTGACTCAATGGTATCGTCCTTTGTTAGGCATTGTTTACAACGAGCCAATTAAAATTAAAATAGGAGATTAATTTCTCCCAATACAAGTCAGTGCGTAACAATCTCCGAAAAATTAAATTTCAATTACGCCTAGGCAAATGTAAAAAGTTTTGAGGTAGAAAAACTAGTGGAATAGTGAAACTCATATCATTATTTTGATTTTAATATTTCAAAAATAAAATTTTGAACCCTAGGTTTATTCAATTCATCCCTTTGTGATATTCATTGTGATTTATCATTATCATGCTCATCAATATTGTCATAGGCAAAGTTGAATAATATTGAATAATCCTAGGGAAATATTTTCCCTAGTATTTTAGTTTAATTTAACCCCTCAAAAAGTTAAGGAACCCTATGTTTTTTCAATTGATTCATATGTTGAAATTCATCAATAACATGTTCATAAACATTTTTATTGACGGCATAACAAGTGTGTTCATCCATCACTGGCTTGTATTATAATTTTTTAGCTGATCTGTTTACTTTTATGATTTAGGCGACCAATTTAGATGTCTTTTGCAATTCTTTTTCGAGACCTGTCACAAGAACTATTTAAGATACCCGGTTAAAAAAATTAACCAAAACAAACTTTCTTCTATACAGATGTTGATGGAACTTTGATAGTGCAAAAATAATTGACAGTGCTTCCTTCTGAGTCTGGCTACATTTGCGTTTTGACCCAGTGAGAGTTTTTGAAATATTAGCAATAGGGCGGTCACTGTCATCATGATATCTGTGAAACAGAACACTTCCTATACCAACATTAGAGGCGTCACAGGCTATTCCTATGTCTAGAGTTGGGTCATAGTGAGCGAGAAATGTATCAGAAGAAAGCAATTGCTTGACTTTCCTAAAATATTTTTATTGTTCTGTTTTCCAGTTCCATGATACGTTCTTTTTAGTTAAATAATACAGTGGCTCAAGTACAGTTGATAGGTCTGTTAAGAACTTGTTGTAAAACTGCACTTGATCAAGAAATGACAGTAGACTGTAAATATCCGTTTGTGCCGGCATGGTTATAGCTGCATCTACTTTTGTTCCTTTTGATATGCCATTGCTTGATAATGTATGCCCTAAATTTTCAAGCGATTGCTGGGCAAATATGCATTTTTCCACACTGCACTCTTATCCACTTGTTTTGATTCCCAGTGTGATTGACCTGTGTTTGAAAAAAAGGTTGTCTAGTGAAATATTCAGGTTCCTTATTGCGCTGCCCCCCAACAAATTTAACAACAAAGTTGTGATCTTTTACTACTACAAATGACAGATGTGTAGATAATTCCCTTGCATCAGCGTTTATCTTCACACCCCCCCCCCAAAAAAAAAACAAACAAAAAACAACAACAAACAAACAAAAAAACAAACATTAAGCAGGTAACCAGACATTGACTCGTACCTAACAGATACTGGGCTCAATGTTGGCTGTCCCAGCTTTCGCCAAACAGATTCAGGCATAAAATTTTCTCCGGCTCCAGTATCACTTTCGAAAGTAAATCTCTTTCCTAGTAAAATGAGTTTTTGAATAATTGGTGGGATATTTTTTTATTTGTTTTTGACTTCTCATTCCTTTGAGATGAATTGATTTCTGTTTTGGAGCATTCTCTTTCTTATAAAGACAAACTCTTTACAGATGTCCCCTCTTGGGGCAAAAGTGGCAGATCATGTCTTTATACTTGCCGACATTTCCTGTATGTTCTTTTCCTCCCCACCTGGCACACGTTCCGACAGGTAAATGATGTCTTTGAGACGGAGAAAATTGTTTTGCTGCCTGATGTTGTTTATTTCTTTTAGTCTGAACTTTATTGACGGAAGTTTCTTCATGGACAGTTTCCTTGGCACACTTAGCTGCCTCTTCTGTTTCAACAGCTATTTCAACTGCTTTGTGAAATGATAATTCAGTGTCCTTTATTCTAAACAAAAAGTTTAGTACAGCTTCATTCTTGAAAGAAAACATAAATCTTGTCCTTAAAGCTTCATTCAGTGGATTTTTTAAATTACGAAACTCACATGTTGCTGCTTCCTGTCTTATGCTAGCTGTCGATTCCTTGATTATCACCCCTGGTTTCTACTTGAATCCGACCAAACCTGAAATCTTTCTCTGGATCAAAATGTTTCATCATTAACAGATAAACTTCTTCCATTGATTTAAGCCTTGTGGTGGGTCTCTCTGTTTTACCCGTGTTGATAACAATTTGTGGAGTTCCGATGTTTGGTTAGCTAGGAAAAAGTGTTCTTGTTTTTCCTTCGGCACATTGTTTGCTAACTCAAAAGTCACATATCTAGCGTAATAGTCATTGAAGGTTTCTTCATTACTATTGAAACTTGTAAATTTAGTCGGAATAATCATATTCCCTGTTGCTAACTTCAACATTACTTCATTTTGCTGTAAAAGCTTTTGGATTAGTATTATCTGGGTCAGAGTTGAATTCGCTATTATTCGTATATATCTTCAGTTACGTGAGGTCCGTGTACCGGTCTAATACTAGTCGATTGATTTCTTCAAAAACTACTTACTGCGTACATGGGCGCCCGCAGGTAAGGGCAAAGGGGGCACTTGCCCCCCCCCCTTGGATTGATTGGATACAATTTTTTTAGACAAAAATAGACCAACAATTTATTAAAGTAAAGAGAAAATAAAGAGAAAGTAACTAAGCTGATGTCCTGTCCGTTCGTTCACCATACGCTACAGTAAATTAAAACTATATTAAAACATTACTAAAAATTTTTTTGCCCCCCCCCTAGAAAGTTTTCTGCGGGCGCCCATGACTGCGTACTATACTGGATGGTACTGAGTTGTACTGGCTTGTACAGAGTTTTTAATATGTTTTTATTTCCAACAATAAACATTAACATAAATATACATATAACACAAGTTCCCAATAATGTTGACTCTATGCTTGACTCCGGAGCACACTGTCCATGCAGACTCACACTACAGGTCCTGCGCATGCGCGCTGACCTAGTTGGTATATTCCGCTAGTCCACTATAATAAGTACGCCCATGAATATCAATATGCAATTATCTAACACACGTAAAATTGGAATTTTGAGAAAAAGACATTTTAAAAAAAAATTCACTTTGCCAAAAGTAAAGTGGGTGTGTATTTTGGATGAGATTAATTACATTTCTGTAGAACAAGATACCAAAGGCTGTTACAGAGGGAAAAACGGTGAAGAGATACTTCTTTAGAAACAATTATTTTTTGTTATAAGTTATAGGATTTTACGATAATATAGTAGAAGACAAAGGCAAAATTTTGTTCAATTTTTACTGAAGAAAACTGTATATCAAATTCCGTTAATATCAAGTTTATTTAAAATGGTATATACAATTTTTGTTATACATTAGGAATAAGTTTTCACAATTTTTAGAGAACAAAATTGGTTTATGGGAAAGAAAGAGGTAGTGTAGGTCCAAAATCTAACAATTTAAAGACACAAGACATTTCAAGTTTTTCTCTAACGTAGAAATCAGCCATAAATGAACTCATTTAGTGAAACATTGATTTAATTAATGATCATTTAGATTTGGTAATTTAAAGGACGTGTTTGTAGAAGACTAAATATGTTAGTCCAGTGGCGCGAAATGGGCTAGATTAGGCGAATAATATTTGGCAGAAAAATTCTTCTTAATTTTTTTAATGATGTTAGGAATGTAAACATCATTGCAGAAATACTTTAAATTAAAAAAAAAAATTACGGAATTGGGGTCCGTTTTAGCAATAGCAGGTGGATATTAACGCAAACTGACTACCATTATCATGCCTATTACATCGGGTGATATTTACATGTTGTTATGGATGACAATTTTCCGTGCCGTGAGCTTTGCTTGACCCCAAATTAGATTCCTTGCAGATTTACGTTCATAGATTGGCGTGGCCTATTATTTTGATATGTCGTGTTTACTGCCGACTACCAATAAAACATGGTTAGTTTGTCTCCTTGTATCATGTGGAACGTTCTCGATTTGACGAGAAACGTAAACAATGTCAAAGGCGTTTCTAGACGCGTCGGCAGACCCATTATATAATTAAGGGGTTTCAGAATTTCAGATAGATTCAGAGATATTTTTAACTTCACGCGACGTGTATTATTCTCTGTGTACTCATATGTGTTTATTCGCATTCATCATTCATCATTATTAATTGGCACATTGTACTCATTGTGCACCGGTACAAGACTTTCCCATACTCTGTAAGTTGATGATTTGTAATTATATTTCTTTTGTTTTGTAATTGTAATATCTCTAAATTAAATCTTATGATTTGTAATTGGTACTGTTTTGAGTGTCGTGTTTTTGTTATTTGTATTTCTCTATGGTATAGGCTCTGTTAAGCACTGTTTGAACGAGCCATAAATTTAAAATAGGAGATTAATTTCTCACACTAGAAGGCAGTGCGTAGCACTTGTATTAAATAAAGATGATGGAAACGACTCTTATATCAACTTTTCTATTAAATGCAGGGTGGGCCATGTAAAACCGGCACGTCTCTGCAGAGTCGTAGCTAAGTAGGGGGCAGGGGGGGGACATATGTCCCTGGCCACCAGACACATTGAGGGCGCCAAAATGGGCCTTGATTTTTTTTTTTTTAATGAAAATAGTGGGTTTGAGAGATGAAAAAGTAAAGGAAGGTGCTTCGTCCCTCTACATCAAACATACAGGCGTTCACAAACCCATGCCCACCCCACCTTCCCCCCACCTCCGGGCTACGCTACTGCAGTACACAGATAGAGAGAAATAAATTGCCTTAAAGAAACGGAGGTAATATGTTTTTTTTTTCTGCCGGCGTCCTAACCCAATATCTGATACGTGCGTTGAAGTTTTGACATATAAGAGATCCTAAATCAAACGTTACTTCACTGACTTATATTTCAAACTATAAATGATCCGATCCTGTGGATGGCTACCGGGAGAGGTCAAAATCAATCCAGTTTAAAATACTTTACCTTTGATATATCCTCCTTGAATCGATTGACGAAAATGTGTAAAGTTGGAATGTTCAACGGAGTTGATTCCTTGGAGTTATGTTGACCACATGCAAATTGGTACATGTCCACGCAGGGATTCACTGACCAATCGATCTTTCCTAAGATGGTGGCGCTTATCTCGACGCACTCTTTGGTCGTGCACACCTGGGGGATGGGATGGGGGGAGGACAATGCAGAAATGACATTATTTATTGTACACTTGAAATGCTTTCCCGAGAGAACAAGATAGGGACGCTGTTGTTTGTGATGTTACATTTCTGATAAAACTATAAACCAATAGCAATTATGGAACGTATTTATGATGTTTAAAAAACGCGAGTCAATTTAATAATTGAAACTTGATGATGGTCCAAGTTGAGGAATATATCGACACATGTTTTTTTCTAGATAAATCAAATGTTTGTGTATGAAATTTTTAAAAACATTAAGATAAACTTATCTCTATTGTACAGCTTCATAGAAACCAAATTAATAGATGTGACATGGTAATCGCATACAAATTTACATAGCTCTAAAGAGGCTACTTTTATTTTTCTATATATTCCTTGTTCTGATTCAAGGGCGTTGTGACTTTGCACTTATAGCGGGGGGGGGGGGCGACGACGACACGGTTTCAACCAGGCAAGGGTCAGGGGGCGGTGGGTCAGAGGGCGGTGGGTCAGAGGGCGGTGGGTCAGANGGGCGGTGGGTCAGAGGGTGGTGGGTCAGAGGGCGGTGAGTCAGAGGGCGGTGGGTCAGAGGGTGGTGTATAAGAGGGTGGCGGGTCAGAGAGCGGTGGGTCAAAGGGTGGCGGGTCAGAGGGAGGTGGGTCAGAGGGCGGTGGGTCAGAGGGCGGCGGGTCAGAGCGCGTTGGGTCAGAGGGCGGTGGGTCAGAGGGTGGCGGGTCAGAGGGCGGCGTTGGTGGGATCATTATTTATGTTGTTAAATATAAGTAGTTTAAGAAATGTCAGGCGATAGAATGTTGAATTTAAAAAAAAATGCTGGTCACCTTAAGATTAAACTTCAGTCTTTGTTTATGATCTTGTTTATGTTGTTGCTGTGTTAAGTCATTCACAAAATGGATTGATTCAAATGACGTCAGAGTTTATATTTAAAAAAAATTAATTACCGGTCGTGTCGTGACCTTCTTCTCTGATTCATCTGGCTTATCTGGAGCATTGCTGGCATGTCCAATCCCCAAGAGCATGAAGAAGTAGACATTGACCAGGAGCAGGACCATGACCAGGCAGCCCAATACAAACGTTAAATAAACCAGTGGTGAGTTCCCCTTGTTCGTCACACCATTGTTGATGGCCATGGTGAACATGGTTCAAACTTTTTATAACACGTTTAGTTTAATTGTTTTTTTGTTTAAATTTTTTTGGAAAACCTTGTTTTTTAAAATGATGTACAGCTTTCTGGTCATATATCTCTCCGTTTGTTATTTCATTAGTCCACAAGTGATGAACAATTAAAAAAAAAACCAACCTACAGATGTTATCGTTGTTTTCGATGGTGGACAGGAAGATAGCTAAATATTGTGATGTGCGAAATAAAAGACGTGAAATATGAAAGCACCGATGCCGTTTTGTTGACATCAAAATAATGTTCTGGGAAATCTCGTAGATTATTGAGATTAAAAATCGATGATGCGCACATTAACAAAGTCCCAATTTTTTTTAATGAGCAACTATCATCATCATGTCCCTTAGTCTTTGGACCGTTGGGGCGACACAGATGACATGAAAACTATCCTTCTCCATTCGTCTCTGTCTTCTGCACTTCGCACAGCATCGCCTAGTTTTAATCCTGTCCACTCTTTGATGTTATCTCAGGGGCGGCCCAACGATTGCTGGCGCCCTGTGCGAGCTTAACTTTGGTGCCCCTTTTAAATGATGAACAGAGCCTATCCTATCATGGGAGATATCCAGATATCAGATCAAGGTGTTTTTGCCCTCCTCAATACCATTAACCCTTACAAAGCATGTGGTCCTGACAACATTAAACCACGAGTGCTCAAAGAATTAGCCAAAGAAATCGCTCCTGCACTGACAATCCTCTTCCAATCGTCACTATGCACAGGAAATGTACCAGCAGACTGGAGAACAGCGCATGTCACTCCAATTTACAAGAAAGGGGAGCATTCCGACCCTGCCAACTATCGTCCGATATCCCTCACTAGCGTCGTCTGCAAACTGTTGGAGCACATAATCGTAAGCTCTGTCATGAAGCATCTTGAAAGCCAAAATATACTCAATGACTGTCAACATGGCTTCCGAGTCAATAGGTCATGTGAGACCCAGCTTCTCTAGACTGTTTGCAGATGACACAGCAGTGTATAGGACGATCGCCAACAGATCTGACCAGGACCAGCTACAACAGGATCTCAATCTGTTAGCTGAGTGGGAGATGAGCTGGGACATGGAATTTCACCCTGTCAAGTGCCAGACACTATCAATCTCTAGAAGTTGTACTCCTCTACACTACCAATACAAACTGCACGGCCATATTCTTGAGCAAGTTTCCTCCGTAAAGTACCTGGGTGTTACCATTCAAAGAGAGGTCCGCTGGGACGAGCATATCAACAATGCATGTAACCAAGCAAACCAAGCCTTGGGGTTCTTAAGGCGAAATCTAAAGATTGGCAACTCCTGTGTGAAAGAAAGAGCATATAAAGCCTTTATCCGTCCGATTTTAGATTATGCATCTTCAGTCTGGGACCCATATACCCAGAAGAGCATTGACAGGTTGGAGGCGGTCCAGCGACGAGCAGCACGCTTTGTCCTAAACCGCTACAGGAATACCTCTAGTGTTGGCAGCATGCTAGAAACACTAGGCTGGTCACCATTGGAGAAACGACGACGACAATCCAGGCTCTCCATGATGTACAAGATAAATAATGGGCTGGTCCACTGTTCCAGTATTAAACAGAAACTCGTCCCTCTCCCCCATAGACAGCGACGAGGCCATGACAGGCAATTCAGGCTCATACCAGCAAGAAGCCAGTATAGGAGCTGCTCATTCCTGCCCAAGACAATCAGGGACTGGAACCATCTTTCAAAAGGAACAGTTGAGGCGACAACACTAGACGCATTTGTGTCTATTGCCTCAAGCCTTCAAACCCCTAGTGCATAATTTCCTCATCACCACCAGTAACAGAAACATTGCAAATCCCATCTACATGCATAGGAGCCAAAATGATCAATAAATTGATCGTGGGCCCTTAAGATATAGAAGAAGAAGAAGAAGTATAATCAGTAACGGAAAAACTAGTTATTCGGTAATGAGTGTATTACCTATGTTATTTTTTAAAAACAAACTATCAACAATAAAATTGTTTTTGTTAACTTGTATTAGCATACTTTTTTTATTACACTTCCTATTTTTATTCCATGGCGCCCCCATGTAAGGCTTATTTCTTATTTTGGAAGATCGTTGATGGCGCCCTAAGCACACGCCGTGTGCCGTGTGCGAAAAGATAGAATACCGTTTCCGGACACTGGACCAGTGAGTCACACTTCACTATAATAAACTAAGGGAATTTAAATATTTACTGGGCGCCCCTATGGCCACGGCGCCCTGTGCGAGGGCACAGGTCACACACCCTAAAGGCCGGCCCTGGTTATCTTCCCATCTTTTTCTCCGTCTTCCTCTTCTTCTCCCTCCTCTCGTTGTGCCCTGCATGATTTCTTTGGCAAACCATAGTTTCCTTGTCACGTGGCCATACCATTCCAGTTTGCGTTTTTCAGTCACCAGGAGGTCATCATACTGCCCAATTCAAATATGAGGTATAAAATAAAAGATATTTGAGTTAACTATATACTAGTAAACGTAATTCTTCAGTTTAGCAAAAATAAATGCCACAAGGGACATCCGAAAAGCATTGAGTCAAAATGGACCCAGACACGCCGCGCCGCCATTCGGACAGGGTCCCATTAAACTCAGTGCTATTCGGACGTCATTTGTGGTAGTTTAGTGTGACTTACTAACCCAAAACTAATATTTCAACAAGTTTTTTTTAAAATCCCAACCTCTCACTTCTGGTACCCGGGTGCAAATCACAACTTCGATATATGTAAGCAACGCTACAATAAGAAAAATAAAAAAATTGAATTGGATGATTATCGAAATGCTAGTTCATCTTCTTTTCTTTAGCTTTCTGATAGATTCTTATCTTGAAAAAATAAATATTTTAAAAGAAAATTCTTGCAAACAGAAAGGGGCAATTTGTTTATTATTCTAATACTAATATTAAAAGACAAAAACAGTTGGGATTTTAATAAACGTAGGCTTATTTTTTAAAAACTCTGTTATTCAGGAATTTTTTAATTTTTTTTCCAAGCGCAGCACATTTAAAGAAAACACAAACGCTTTCCATATTGTATTTAACCATTCACACTTTTGTTGGGGATACAGTGGTAATGGTTAACTAAGTCTATGACAACTGAGTAACTTTTACTGCCACATCATGACATCAAATGAAATAAATCATAAAGTCATTTGAAGTAATTAGCACTGGCTCTTTATACTTTTATTACAATAAGACTATATTCACATGATAAATAATAACTCAAAAGATAATGCAGAATATCCATAAATGTATTCCTTCACTTCTGTCATCACGATTAAAAATCACACATTTAACAATAGCACAGACTCATAACAGCATTTTCCAACATGGCTGCGTTACCTTCTCCTTTTTATCTCACGTCTTCTTAGTCTTTACAAAGATTTTACATAACCTCAAATTAGGACATACTGTTACATGATATATCCCTAGACAAACGTTATTAGGAAAAATATCTAAGTATATACATAATTTGAAGAGAGACACAAATGGAAACCAATCCTCCAAAATGTTACCTTATAGCTATTCAATATTAGGATGGATATATCAAACAACCATTATTCAGTACATTGACATGTCAAGAACATAATCATTGTATGTCAACCTTATTCTTAATATTTATCAATAAAAAATACATCTTAACTGTTTCAAGGCAAAAAAAAATCATTTTAAGTTTAAATAATTATATTTACACAATTCAATAAAAAAAATGTGTAACTAACAATAATATCTCTTAGTCTTGGTTATCATAATATATTTTTTATATGAAATATTCACATTCAAATTATTTAATTTCATGTCACTTCATATATTAGAAAATACACTACAATATTGTACCAAAATATATTAATTGGACTTGTTACATATAAATACAAGTTATCACACTATTTATTATATTTGCCATGATATATTAAAATACCACTTACTTGCCTATTTATAGTAATTTAATTAAATCAACAATTTTTTACAACATGTTCCTAAATAAAATAAGCAAAACATTACAGATGTGTTATTTCTTAAAATATCACCAATTACAGATGTGTTATTTCTTAAAATATCACCCATTTCTAAGTGCAAAAGAAAGAGTTAACCAAAAAAGTTAAAGGCTTTGACTGACAAGTGTTAAAGCAATGTGTCATTGTCATACCAAAATAATTAGAAAAACCATGTACATCAGATGAAGTATGCTTATCATATGAAGTGGGATAGCTTTTCAAATAAGTTCTTTAAAGTTTACAGATGGGTTTTGATGTATTTTGTAGGAATGAATATATCATCAATAAAATGTACTACTATTACATTGCCAAAAAATGATGAATGGTGGGTGTAACGGTGAATATTTAATACTTCTTCTTCTGTTAATTATATTTCATAAGTGTATATTCAGTGTTGCAGTAATGGCTTGATTCCAATTCAGTGCTGTCCAATTATTAAGATAATTACATTCTTTGGAAGCATGAGACAAGTCCGATGAATAACATCCCTATAACAATATATTGCCTACTTTATTCACATAATCATGACATTCCATATAAAACTTTATTAAGATATGGAAAATTCATTATTTTGTAATTTTTGACCTGTTACATACGCCCCTATTGAAAAAAAAATTTTGCATCTTAGTTTATTTGGACAAAAATCTAACAAAATTTTTAACAACATTACTTAAGCAATATTATTGCAATAATAAAAATTTTGTAAGGATTTCATTAAGAAAAAAATTAATACTATACTTACATCACAATTTTCTAAACTATATATCTATATGTTGAACTATATGTTCAACTCTCGGTAAAGCAATTTCATATTAAATCTTATTATAACTTTCTCATGTGGAAAGATCTCTTCTTTAAAAACATGGGTGAACATTGTCTTCATAAATCAAGGAAAATATAAAAATGTCTCAATATTATGTGTGACTAAATAGTATATCTTATAACTGTATGGTAGGAATAAATCTCTGCTCAATCATCATCAATTGTCAATGA